TTTCTTTCTTTCCTGTATTTAGTACAGGGTCTCACTATACAGATCAGTGATCCTCTTGTTTTCAGCCTCCCAAGCACTGGGATTACATGTGCATGCCACCATGCACAGTCTCAGTCACAGTCCCAGCAAGCCCTGGGGGCGGGACCAGCACAGTGCACCAGGGATTGAACGGGGTTGCTGCACCTGCCTAAACAGGCGCTTTAGTCTGCTGAGCTATCTGACTGGCCCTATTTTCTCTTTCTTTCTTTTCTTTATTCTCTTTTTTCTTTTCAGTGCTTGGGATTGCCCTGGGAGATAACTCAGTAGAATAAGCACTTGCCTGGCAAGTGCAAGGGCCTAAGTTCAATCCCCAGTTCTGGAAAAAAAAAAAAAAAAGATGAACTCAGTGCTTGGGATTGAATCTAGGGCCCCGCACATTCTAGAAAAGTGCTTTACCACTAGACCACACACCCAGACCAATGATTTTACTTTAAATGGCATTGTCTGCCCTACCAGAACTGAGTATCCTCTCCAATCATGAAGAAGGGCCTACTTAGTAACTAGTACTTACTTAGAAGAGTGTTTGAGGTGCTTTTCTGGTTCATGTATCACACCTGAAAACATTTCTAATGGGTTCCTATTGTTGGAAGCCAATGAGGAGGATGCACCCCATTAGTACCTGGGACTAGGATCCGAATCAGAAAGGCCAGAACCTCATCAGCCAAGTGAACTTCAGTGGGCCCTGATGTAAGCAGAGGCAACAGGGCTGCTCCTGAGTAGACTGACGATATAGCCCTGGACCTTCACCTCACGGAGCAGGTACCTGCTCCCAGCTCAGGCTGGGACACCAGGATAGATGGAAATGTCTCATGCATGTGATCATGGCCCTAGGGCATTGGGAAGTGCCAAGCCTTGGGAAGCTGGGACAAGAGGTGTGGGGTAGGAGTGTGTTGGGGTCTCCATGCTGTGCCTTGAGCAGTGATTGAAAGTTGGGAAGTCTCTGTGCCAGGTCCCGATGTAGTCATTTGTGACATGCAGTTTCATTCATGCCCACCTGGCCAGTTGTTCTTTGAGACAGCTGTTCTAAGCACCAAGCCTAGGCTCCAGGAACTTCAGGACAGCCAACAAAGCTACAGGTAATGCTTATTTGCCTTGTCCCAGTACCAAGGACATAGAGGCTCAGAGATGTGCAGTAACCTGGCGAAGGGTATGCATAGGGTTCCTTCAAAGCCCTGGTTTCCAAGTTCCAGTCAAAGAACCCTGAGGCTCCACCTGCTGGATCCCAAGGCTGCACCTGATGCCAGATGAAATTCTTTGTACAGGGGACAGGAACATTGTCCAGCACCTCTTGGCTGTCTATGGACTTTAATGGTGTCTTTGTTACTTTTGTCTTGTTGCTGAGACATAATATCTGATGCCCAACATTAAGGAAGCAAAGGTTTATTTAGCTCTCAGTTTGTGGAGGTTTAAGTCCATACTCAGCTGGCTCCAAGGCAGGGTGGTGTGGCTGAGGGGCAACATTTCAAGGTGGCAGAAGACAGCAAAAGCAGCAAGAGCAAAAGGAGAAGAGCAAGCCTCCCTTTTTCCCTTATGTCGTAAGCAGGCCACCCCCCTAGGAGTGAGTATAGCACTCACACCATCTCCAAGCCCTCCTCTTTCACTTGTTCAGGATGCTTAGTGAGGACTCTGGCACCCTGCTGAGTCACTTAGTTAAACTTCTGAAGTTTTTAAGTTGACACAATGTATCAACCATTACCAATGGTCAGGGGCCTGGTATAGGAATTGAGTTCTCCATCATCTGAAGTGTGTCAGCAGGACTGTGTAAAGTCATGGTTAGGTGCTCAGCACAGAGCACTTAGTCAGAGACAGGTTCACCCCGTCCACCACATCCTGCATGACTCCCCTTATGACTCCCCTTGATTTGTGAGTGTAGCCGTACTTTACATATACCTACCAGTGTGGGAGGGCAGCCACTGTAGCAGCTGAAGAGAACCGCTGGTTGTCTCCTCTATCACCAGGCAGGAATGATGCCACATGCCATCCCTAGTGTGGCCGCTGAAGGAGGAGAAAGCCAGACTGTGCATCCTGGTACATAGTCACCTCCATGCTGTCTTGAAGTTCGCTTGGTCAGGCCTTGGCTCAGGGTACCCTTTCTGGACTGACCCAGGCTAGGAGGAATTGTCAGCCCTTAAGGTGCACAAGCCAGGATGGCCAGTCCACTCTGCAGGTTGGGATACCATGATTTAGGGAGGCCTGGAATTTGCTCAGAATGAATAGGAGTTTTTAGCTTCACAGGGACTATAGAAGGAGTCACATTCATTTCCCTCACTAGCCTTCACCTCCCATCTGGGTGGTGCAGCTCAGAGTCCTGTCTCTAAAGAGGCTCAGACCCACAGAAATGGCACCTACCTTTCTGCTTTTTGCTTGTTTGGACTTTATGCTCAGGCCTGTCTTGAAAGGTAGATATGGGGCTAGATAACATAAATTAACAGGCAAGGGCCGAATGCCAGCCCAGTACCAAACACACCATTTAACCATGAGAGATCTCTGGGGAGAAAGTCCTGAGTTGAGATGTTCACCACGTTCTTTAGTGTAATTTCTTTAGGGCTCCAGGTATTGCCCACTTCCCGCTGCAGAGCAGTGTCACTGGACTCAGAGTCAGAAGAGATGTGCATAGTGGCTTTTGTGAGCCATTTCCAACTGGTGCCAGCATCTGCTGCCAGTGCCCAGCAGGGTCCCAGAAGTCCTGCTGCTCTGGGTGACAGTTGGGTTGGCAAAAGCTTCCTTCTAGTTGTGAAGGCTTAGTATTGCATCTGCTGGTTTCTATGTCACACAGGCTGCCCTGTGCTAAGGGCTCCAGGGCCAGCTGCCCATGTACTTAACTTTGGCCCTAAAGGGTGGCATGTATCTGACAGGGTGCCACGCCACAGGGTGGGGACTGAGATGGGAGCACTCTGGGATCTACCCTGTGCCCCAATTTTTGCATTTGGGAAAAGGTGCAGTGACTATGAGAGATCACAGTGGTTTGTGTGAGGCGAGGTGTTAGCTCAAGGTGGCGTCCGGCAGAGGGCTCAGAAATGAGTGTGGTCACTAGCATGGTGCAAGATTTCAGGCAAGTTCTGAGATGACATCAACAGGGGCTGTCAGGGGTCAGAGTCACAGAAGGTTCTCTAAGTGGAGGGAGGAGATGGAAGTGGGGTGCTGTGGGGAGAAAATATGCCCCCATCCGAGGGATCCCAAGGTAACCTCCATCTCAGGAACTTAGGGATTTGAGGCAGGTAATTTCCAATTTCCACCTTCTATGGCACAGTGACCACTGGTACCACTCTTTCTGCACAATGGTGAGGTCTTTATAGAACCTGAGAGTATAGCGAGGGCAGAAAGAACACTTCAGTTCTGGTCCTTGTCTAGATCGAGCTTGGGTTCGGGAGGGAGGGTGCTCTGCGCCTTCTTCTAGCCTGCTCATCCTGTCCTGGTATAGGCTCTCAAGTCTGGCACGGTGGGGTAGGGAGCTGCTGCCGCTTCCTCCATTGGCCGACAGCCCCACGGACCTTTCTACAGAGCTTCAGAGGTCCGGAGTTCAGCCGAAGGTGGCCGCTAACCTGCAACCAGGTGGGCGTGACAGGCCCCGCCCCACAGGGGGCGGGAAAGAGCGGAAGCCCCGCCCGCCCTCGCGCGCCGGGTCGGAGCCGGTGCGGGAGCGGAGGCGCGCGGAGCCGGCAGGAGCACGCGGGAGCGCGGCCCCGCAGCGGCCCGGCCCGAGGGAGCAGACTCAGGAGCGGAGCAGCGTCGCGACCCCAGCCCCAGCGAAGACCCCCGCCCCAGCAAGGATCCAGCCTCGGGCGCACACCCCAGCCTCGGAGCGCGGCCTCGCCCGCTTCGCCGCCCCGGCCGCTTGGCCGCGGGCATGGACGGCGCCCGCTCGCCCTGTGAGTGCCGGTCCCCGCCGCCCGCCGCCTTTGTGTGCCACCGCGCCGCCGCAGCCCCCTCCCCGCGGCCCTCCCGCGCCCCGGGCCCGCGTCCTTTGTGGAGCCACCGCCCGGCCGGTGCCTCCTCGTCCCTTCTGCAGCCTCCCCCGGGACAGTCCCGCAAGACCCCCTGCCGGCCGGGGCTGGGCCGGCCGCGGGCCCCTGTTTCCGGCCTCCTCCCCTGCCCTCGGGGACACCCAGCGGGTTCTCCCTCCCGGGGTCCCAGGGACGGCCGGGGTCAGGCCCTCTCCGCGGCCCGGCGCTGAGCGGGGTGCGGGGGGCCCTCTTCCGAGCCGAGCTCGCCTGTCTCGGCTGCAGCCCTCTCCAGCCCGCGCCCCCTCCGCGGCCGGGCCGGGCAGGTGCGGCGGCCGGCGCTCACGCGGCCGTGTGTCCTTGGCCCGCAGAGATGGACCGCGATGGCGGCGGCCGGGACGCCCCCGGCGCGCTGATGGAGGCCGGGCGCGGCGCGGGGCCGGCGGGCATGGCGGAGCCGCGGGCGAAGGTGGCGCGGCCCGGGCCCCAGCGATTCCTGCGGCGCAGCGTGGTAGAGTCGGACCAGGAGGAGCCGCCCGGCCTAGAGGCTGCCGAGGCGCCCCCCGTGCAGCCCCCGCAACCCCTGCAGCGCCGGGTGCTCCTGCTCTGCAAGACTCGCCGGCTCATCGCTGAGCGCGCCCGCGGCCGCCCCACCGCCCCCGCTCCCGCCGCGCCCTCCGCGCCCGTGGCGCCTGCTGCACAGCCGGGAGCCCCCTCGGACCCCGGCCCAGAACCCGCGGGCGCTCAGGAGCCCAGGCCGGACCCTGCTGTCGCCAAGGTCCCCGACTGCAGTCCGCGGGAGGAGGAGCAGGGGGCGGCGGTTGCAAGGCCAGAGGACGCAGGAGCTACCGAGGCGAAGCCCGAGCCTGGGCGCGCGCGTAAGGATGAGCCTGAAGAGGAAGAGGACGATGAGGACGACCTCAAGGCCGTGGCCACCTCCCTGGACGGCCGCTTCCTCAAGTTCGACATCGAGCTGGGCCGGGGCTCCTTCAAGACGGTCTACAAGGGACTGGATACCGAGACCTGGGTAGAGGTGGCCTGGTGTGAACTGCAGGTGAGGGCACGCTACCTGCACGTGGGCTTTCGCGGAGTGCGTCCTTGGGTCAGTTGCGGCACCATCTTGGGTCCTTAGGCAGCCCTGGGAAATGTCTGGGGCGGCCGAGTTTGTGTGTCACCCTCTGTGTGGGTGGCCAGCAGCGGGGTGCCTGTTCAATATCTGCGCACAGGTGGGGTTTGTTAGCTTGGTTGGTCCCTGAGATCAAGGCTTGAGTGTGTGGTGTAAATGGACCCACTGCGCGGGTGTGCTGTCAGCTGTGCTCCTTGTAGCGTCCTCATAACCCACTTTACTGATCTAGTAGAGCCAAGACAGTGTAGGGGTTTCAATGCCTTTGTGACAGAGGGATTTGGAAGCTCTCACTTCCTTTTAACTAACCTCTTCCGGTATCCTGCTAAGTGTGGATTGTGGTGCCCGAGCTATCAGGGGCTTCCTTTGACTCAGAGGTGTGACACGAGGTAAGGCCCTGGGGCCACCAGGCAAGGCCGAGTATCCTCCTGTAGTTTTGTGATTCCAAGGTTCAGGATGTGTGAGAGATCTTTAAAGCTAAGTCATCCAAATGCCCCTGCATTTTTCCCTTCCTTTCCTCCTCCTCTTTGGATGCAGAGGCCCTGGGCATGCATTTTTCATAACCTTGCCCTCACGTTGGCTGTGTCAGCTGGGGCCCTGGGAGATTATATAAATGGCAACCCTATCCGTCCTGGGCCAGCCTTAGAAGGGGAGGTAGTGCCTGTCACAGTGGTGTTTACAAGCCCTCCCTGGCTTGGAGGGGGCAGCTGTCAGGCAGGGCCTGGCCTGGGCTCACTAGCAGGAGCTGTAAGCTTACCCCGCTGGCCTGTAAAGTTAGCTAGCCTTCCAGGGCTGATGCAGGCTATGCGGACCAGTGCAAGCTGGCTGCCAGGGCCACTGGCCATGCTGCAGGAAGCCTGCATTTTTGGCCCAGAAATGGGATTCATTTACTGTGTCCTCCAGCCCCTGCAGGGTGAACTGCGTGTGTGTTCAGGCCATGATAATGTGGTGGGTGTCTGCCTGTCGTCAGCCCTTCTCCTAGTACAAAGAGCCCCAGAGGTCTTGCCTTCCCACTGCCCTTTGGTTCTGCCATGGAAATGTGACTGCATAGCTTGGGCCAGGCTTGGTTTGAGGCCTTTTAGGAGAGGGCCAGGAGCTCTCCTCCCTCCTGCCTGCAGATTCTAGGGCTTGCTGAGAGGTGGCCTTGATGACACAGAGCACAGGTGGGTGGGGCAGGGTCTGTAGTGTACCCTTCCTTGCTACAGAAGGGGGCTCTGTAAAGGAGAATTGCATAGGCTTTGGCTGCCTGCCTTCGTGCTCTTGCCAGATGACCAGTGTGGCTTTCTGAGTAGCCATAGTGCTACTGCCGGGTTGCTACTGGGGATGGAGGGCCAGGCAGAGGGGCTACAACAGGTTGGGTGTGAGTTAGATCTCTGCAGCTTGAGCCTGCCGATCTGGCGGAGGTACTGCAGGCACATGTGACTCTTGGAGCTTGTTAATTCCCCTTCCCTTTAAGGCAAGGCCAGCAGTCTGTGCCTTCCCATGGTGGGCAGGGCATTATGGGGTGGGGCTTGGCTTCTGTCCGGGGTCTTTTGCTTCTGGAGTGTAGATAGGAGTGGGAAGGCTGGGGTAGCTTTGGGACTATAATGTTATCTACTTGGGACTTGCTGAGGCCCCCTAGACCATAGGGAAACTGTCCTCACACTGACTCCGATATGTACTGCTGTGGTCACCACCATCTTCCTGGGCCAGTTTGGGAGGATTTTACCTGACAGGTATCTGCGTGAGTTTAGAGAAACCCTCCTTGTTGAGAACTTGCAGTGCCAGAACTTGCAGCGCCATCTCCCTGTTTGGGAGGTGGTGGGGACCAGGAGGTCATGAGGTGGCAGGGATATTTTGGGATAAGCGAGGAAACACTTGTCCTGGTATGTGTGTGGGGGGTCTGGCCTGAGCCAACTTTTATGCAGAGACATGGGAAGGGCAAGTTTTTGGTGTCTAGGATGTGGGGCAGGGCTGAGTAGGGTAGGCTAGGGAGCAGGGATCCTGCCTAGAGTAGGCTCCTCAGATCAAGGCAGGAGTAGGGTAGTGGGACTCCTTTAGGAGAAGGGGTACAGGGTCTGGCCTCACCCACTACCATGGTGCAGAGGGGTGCCCTGCTCTGGGAGGGTGATAGGTGGACATTCTGTCAGCAGGTGTGAGGGGCCTTCTTTTTTTTCTTCGCAGTACTAGGGATTGAACTCAGGGCCTTGCACTTGCCAGGCAAGCGCTTATTCTATTGAGCTTATCTCCCTGGCCCTAGGAGGGGTCTTCTTATCCCAGTGTGGAGATAGTCATCCAGTGCCTTGGACCCCAGCATTTCTTGGCACTGAGGATGGGGTCCTGAGAGTCTACCTTTACTTGTGGAGGACAGGGTCTGTGGGGGCATTTCCTTTGTCTAGGGGAGTGTCATGGTATTTCTCTAGGCCTCTGTCCCCCTCTTGGAGACACCCAGGACTCTTCAGCAGGGTGTGGCCTCCGTCTGTTTATCCAGGTGTCTGCAGGTGGCTGTTTCCTTTCTCTTCTGGGGTGGAGGGCTTCTCTTCTGGAGAACTGAGGTGCATTGCTCACTTGCTCCTTACAGGGTTCCTTGCCATGGGGCAGACCCACTTTCATTGTGGACCTAGTCGGTGTGGTTTAGAGGACATCTGATTTCCCTCAATGACTTTGTGTTGAAAGGGTGTTTTTGGGAGAGCAATATGTGCTTATCTCACATCCAAGGGCAGCAGGATGTCTCACCTTCTGAATCTCCAGATAGCCAAAGCTGAAAATGGAACTGTTTTTGGAGGGTGGGGCGGGGTGACCATTTAAAAATATTACCTCCTGTCATTTATCTTTTGAATGAGTTTTTATTCCAGTGTGTCACAGCAGCAACAAAAGAAATAAAAATACCACCTGCTGTCCTCTTCCCTCTCCTTTCTCATGCGTCTGTGGCCATCCTTGGCCAAGGTCCTGCCCAGACCCCTGTTCTATCAGCATGCAGTATAGCTTAGCATCCCTGCTCCTGCTGGGAGTGGTTGTCTACTGCTGTGGCATACCTGGTAGCTCTGGGGCACAGTTCTGGGTATTTACCTCATCTGCAGCGCCAAGTGCTAGAGGGTGGGGAGATTGGAACTGTAGGGGTGCCCATGGTATAGCCACACCACAGTAGAGTGGGGGTCTTGGCACAGTGTGGCCACAGTAGAGTGATGAGGGCGATGTGTTGGCACCATGCCACCTCTTGCCTGGCTCCCTCCTGCTGGTCAGTACAGCTTTGTCCCATCTTTTTGGTGTTGTACTTTTGTATCTTCCTCACTCTTCCTGGCTACCCAGGTGGCTAGAATGATGCTGTCTCATGTGACTCAGAGCTCCCTTTCCTTTTAGAGGCCACCAGTCCCTGAGAACATGATCCCAGAGCTCACGCCTTTGTCAGTGGGCTGTCAGAGGCAGCTTTTTGGCCTTTCTTTCTCCTGCCCAGTCTCCACTGGGGACCTGGAAGAGGGTGTCTTTATTCCTGTGTTTATATATTCCCTGTCACTGTCTCCTGTCAGGGAATCTAGTCCTAGGCCCTCACGCCACTGCCTGCTATAGAAGGCTACTCTGTGCTGCTGTTGCAGTGCTGGAACCTGTGGTTGCTAGTGTGTATGTCGTCCGTCTGTGACTGACGGCTCAGTACCTGCCTGGCCTCCCAGAGCAGTGTGAGTTCTAAGGAGGCTGAGGGGCAGGTGCTTCTCCTCCTAGCCCTGCCTGGGCCCAGCTGGGCAGGAATGCAGGGAAGCTAGCTGCCGGTGGGGTGATCTCAGGAGGTCCTGCAGTGGTGTGGGGTGTTGAAGGCAGCTGAGCATGTTCTTGCAGCCTGGCCAGAGATCTTAGTGTCCCCTCTGTCTGCTGTCCCTGGGAGGAGGTGATGCCCTTGGAGGCTTACCAATGTGGCTGACCCTCACTGTCCTCAGATGGTGATTAAGTGTTCCTGCAGCCTCCCCATTGCCTGTGTGTCCACTTTATCATGCAGGTGGGGTAGGGAGGCTGAGGGTATCTCCGAGGGCACAGAGACCCGACTGCTGCCCTGTCTGCTCCCTTCCATCCTGTTGAGCTGGGGAGGGGGCTGGAGGAGAGGCCAGGTTCCAGCATCCCAGCTTGGTGGAGCCCACAGTGCTGGCCACCTCTCAGGGACAGGACACCCTGAGAAGCCCAGCCTGACGTGGCTGCTGGTTACTCTGCCTCTTTTTCTTCTGAAGTGCTAAGTTTTCTGGGAAGAGCTGGAAGTTTGAAGTTGGTTAGATGTAGCAAGTTAGTCTGTTCTGGGGGAAGATGCTCTGCTCCCTGCTCCCATACTGGGCTTTGGTTTAGTTGGTGAAAGAGGTTGGTGCTGGCAGTCTGGATAGCCTGTGGGGACGGCTGTCCTGCCAGGCACAGGAGTGTGAGAGCTTTGGCACTCAGGGCCCCCTCCTACCTCCAGGTGTGGGTGGTCAGTGATGATGACAAGCTGCTTAAGCTGCTGCTCCCAGCAGGGTGGGGGACAAGGGGCGGTCAGGCACTGCAGCTCATTCCCTGTTGGAAGCAGGTGCTCTGCAGCTGAGCCTGTGCCTTTGGGGTTGTCCTTAGAGGCCTTGGTGTTCCGAAGGACCTGGGTCAGCCACATTCAAGACCAGGTCACTGTGTGACTCAGAGCATGGCTGTGTTGCCTATCTGGGCCCTGAGCTGAGACCACAGACCTCCTCATAGTAAGGGGCAAAGTGGCAGGCACAGCCTGTTTGACACACTATCCCTGAGCTGGTGTTTGCTCAGCCCCTGAGACCTGGACAGAGTCTGAGAGGGCAGTGGGATGCCTCCTGCAGTACTGGCTCCAGAACTCTGATGACGATGTCTGTGCTCACAAGCCCCGCTGAGCACCTGGTGTGTCCAGGCAGTTGAGCTCTGCATCCTTTGCTTTCCTTATGTCAGATACAGCAGAGTGGTCAAGGGACAAAGCTGAG